CTGTGGAGCTTCAGGCTTTCTTCTTGAGCCATATCCTCCTTGGCACTTGCAGCCCATAACAAACTATTCTTATTAACATTTTTTCTGGGCTGGGATTAAGTTGGAAAAGAGACAGGAATGACATTTTGCTTAAACCACTTTAAAAAGTAAGCAGAAGCTCTACCATTTAAAGTTTATATTGAGTCTGCTTCTAGATATCTAGAAAAAAGGGATATTCAGGATATAAACACACACAGGTATTGCTGTACAAAAGCTCCAACTTTGATGATTTGCAATGGGTGGTGTTTTTGATAATGCCTCTGCTCAAGCCACACACACACAATTGCTGCCTCTGCGCTGAGACATTAGGAGAACATTTTGTTTTCCCCTTGCCCATTCACAATTACATAGATTTGTTAATTGCATCAATGTGACAAGGAAGAGGCATCAAAAGCTGAAAAGGTGTTCCCTTCACCAGTATGTGCCAAAGATCACAGTAAAAATGAACTGTATACCTAAGACTCTGCCTGGAGGTCCGACCAGGAGCAGCCAGACCAAACTTCAGACAAGGACAACCTAGAGCCACTGTGATAACTTCTTTGGCCTCATTTTCCAAATGGAGGATTCATCTCATTAAGTGGGAGAAAGAAAACACCACCAAAACTTATCCTATTCACAGCTTGGGTTTCTATTTCACAGCGGCCCGACTCGTAACTTGGACTGATCAGCTGAGCAGCTGAGAGACACACTTGCAGCAATCAGGTCCCACTATTAGGACTGAGCAGATTCCTGTTCTTTCCCAGCGCTGCCATTTGGCAAGACTGAGCTCCTCAGAAAACAGCGCTAAAATTCCTCCCTGGGCAAACGCTAACACACTCCATCAAGTTCTGCTTCCGTACAGCTTTGTGCGCCTCTGTGCTTGATTTCAAAGTTATTTAAGGAGCTAATCGGCGTCATTCAACTGCACTGCGAAGCCGTGTGCCGCTGCAGAGCTTTGGTGTTGGATGAGCAGCTCTGGCTTGTGGAGCCCCTCAGCTGCCCATTCCTCAGGCATGGGCCTGGGGTTGTGGAGGGAAGAGAGATCTGTGACAGGACCACAGCTGCCTAAGGCCCCCCAAGCATCCTGCTCCCATGCCAACTTGGGAATCAGAGCAAAGCTTTCTGCTGGGTGATACGGGAGCAGGAGCCGAGCCACAACTTCTGCACTGTGAAAGCCTGCTTCATATTGGGCCAGGGAGGTTTCAGCTGACCACAGCTCCCAGCTATTCCCTACAACTGCATAGTGAGAAGAAGCAAATTCTTGGGAAAAGACAATACAATGAAAAAATCAGGTTTGTGTCCTTCTGCAGTTCCCATACATTCCCCCTGGGGCTCCAAAATTTCCACACAAGCAAGTGAATCAGCCCACTTTCAGAGGAACAGAAGTTGTAGCTGGGGAAACAAAACCCTCTCATGAGGCTCTGTAGCCACTAATTTTTGCGATTTCTACCCTCATCCTTCTTTCTGCCCGTATTATCCTCTGAATCTCCTGGGACATCAGCTCTTCAAGATGGGAACCAACTCCATACCCCCAGCCATCCAGAAACATACAAAGAATATCCAAAATTTGGGCTAGTCCTGTATTGTTCCTAGCAATCCAATTCTCTTGGAGAAATTCCTCATAATTTTCAGATATGCTGCATTGTGGAAGTTGCCATAAAATGTTTATACATTGTATCCTCTGACCTATTTAACACATCCAGCTGCTACATAGAAGCAGTTGAGCCACCAAGAAAGAAACCCAGACCTCAAGAACTCATATGAAGAGACAAAAGGCAGGCTGCAGAAATCCCCTATCTTTCCATAGGAAGTTTAATATATGGGGAAGGAGAAATAAATCCAAAATTACCTTCTGGATAAATTTACAACATGGAGAAATTACCCTTCTACAGTCACCTCTTCTGTTCCCACATTCCCATCAAACGGTCAAGAAAGCTTTGCCGCCCCAAAACTAATCTTCTTAACCAAAGGAAAAAACCCACACGTTAGAAAGCAAACAGCTGTCTCCATCTCCCATCTTCAGTCCCCCTGTGCTGCTCAGAAACCACCAAGATCTATCTCGAGCGCACAGGATGCACATTCACCAGGTGCCACTGCGGTCTGGTACCATCACACGCCGCTTCTCCTGCAGCCACCCAAACCGACTGCTGCGCTTCTCCACTTACCCACCTATCTGATAAGAACACATACCATGGCCTGAACTTGCAATTAACACTCTCCTGCTCCTACTAATACAACCTGGAAATAGCAAATCACTTGCCAGTAAAATAGGAAAATTTAAAAAAGAAAAATAATATGTGGGGGAGGAGAATGGGGAAGACAAGACCTCTCTGACAACAGCAGATTTTGGAAGATTCTACATTCTTCTCAAACACCCTCTCGCTTTCAAAAGCTACACTGAAATTAGACTTCCTTTTTTATTATGGTTTATTAGGCAAGTTGTGTCTGACAATGGATTTGTACTTTTAATTTTACAAAGCAAGCTTCTAAAGCATTCGCCTTTTTTTAAAAAAGGAAAGGTTTTTTTTTTTTTTCCCCTTCTACATATGGTGATGGAAGTAACTTTTTTCCCTTTCCAGGAAAGCTTTGCTCTCCCTTCTCATAGATGGTCCTTGCCCTGTGTCTGGACAGCATTCCCCAGGGGTGCATCCCCCGGGGCAGTTTGCAGTCAGCGGGTCTTTCCAAGGTGGAAAAAAAGATTCAGCGCCCCAGGGCGCCTTTTTAATCCTGGCTAACACCTCCAGGCAACAGATGCATCCACAAGAAGCGTCTTTGTCATGCAAATGGCAGGGCACAGGTACACACCAGGCACAAATGGCTGGGGACTACTGACACCCCAGGGGAGACCTCTGCCTCCAGTGCTTGCTGATCTCAGCTGCTCCTGGCCCCGCTGCCCTGGGAAGGGGAGGCAGAGCAAACCCGGAGGGCAGCGGCTGGGACCCCACGGAGGAGAGCGCGGAGCGGGAGCCGTGGAGAGCCACGGAGAGAGCGAGGATTGTCACCTCCCGGGCGCCGCGTTTTCATCTCGCGCGCATTAAAACCCAACTGGCAGCTACGAGCCCAGCGAAGATTACAGTTCAATTAAACAAAAAAATTATTTAATAACTCAAGCGTGTAGCCTTGTGGTTAAACTGAAAGAACTCCAGGCTTATGTCAACATTGCAGCCCTGCAACAGCACTGTTTTATTGAAATAGTGGTGCTGCTGTAACATGCAAGGGCAGCACTGAACTAAATTAGCCCCTCAGATGTTCAGCCGGCAGCTTTACAATTAAAAACAAGATGCGTTTTCCCCCCTTGCTCCCCTCCACCACACCCACAAAGGGCAGTTCCTCAAGTACCTCAGACAAGAGCCTCTGCAAGATGATATTCTGAGGGCACTGATGCCAGATCTGTAAAGCGTGGCAGCCCCACGGCATGCATATATGGAGAAAATCCTCAGTGAATAATTAAATTGGATTTTGTTGTTCCAAGCCATGCACCGGCACTCTGGGCTTTCTTAGGAAGGTAACGTGACAAAGAGGGGGTAAAAAAAAAGTCTGAAGTTTCCTAGTCCTCCAAAGAGCACGTTTGAGTCTCAATGCCCTCTTGAAAAACTGCATGCTTTTCCCTATGATACATCCAAAAGGAAGTTTTCTGTAGAACAACGTTTACAACAACAAATATCAACAGACTGTGATCATCATGCTTCACCCTAAATGGTTGTAGGCCTCTGATCTGGAATTTGTACACAAAAACCTGCCACAGCTATAGAAAGCAATATATTGCATGAGTTTTTGCATCTTGCAAATGCAGATCCATGTGTTTTCCAGTGCCAAAGCACCCTGTCATTCCGACTCCAAATATACACTAATTTAACATGTTTTGCTGCTGTCAAATTACCAATACAGATGAGGCCCCCTTCTTTTTGTTTTTGAAGTCAAATGCCACAGTCCCGAATAAAAATCAAGAACGTCAGAGAGGAAAACAATGCTGTGACAGAGACCTCCAAGTAAAAAAATCTATGAGCCACTAAGAAGGAAAACTGCTTTATCACAGGGAAGTAACAGCATCCAACTTCTCCTATCACAGCATGCACAACGGCAGCGGCATTTTTCCAGCAGGATGCCTACCAGCAAATTGTTTCCCGCTCCACTCCGGTTCTACTAATATAATTTCCACAGCTCATTTTAACACTGCCTCTCCATTGCTCTATATGTATACCAAGAGGCTTACAAAAATAAATGGGAATTGACTATCCAGAATTAGAAGTACGTTAAAATCCATTAAACATGCATCTACACCAATGGAAACAGAGGGACCAACCTGGAAGAATCAGTGCTCGCCACAGTGTAAGGGAAAGCTGTAACTACTGCATCATGGTTGATATTAATTCCTAAACGACCATTTCACAATTTCTGGCTGAAGATACAGAGTATGTTTCAAAGCAATGCTGCCAGATAGATAAAGCCTTCACGCAGACCAACTGATGGTGGAAATAAATATCAATCAGCAAAGAGCAATGCCACATCTGAAGGCAAACAAACAAACAAAAAAAAACCCAAAAAACCAAAACCAAAAAAAACCAAACCAAAACAAAAAATCCAATCTTCTCATCTTACTGTCAAGCAACTTCAGCAGTTCTGCTTCCAGCCCTTGATTTTCCTCAACAGATTTAAAGCCAGAAAATTCACATCTGTCCCAGTCACTACAAAGACAGCATTTACATCATTCTGCCGTACATTATCCTAGAGTCGTAAACCAGGGCTCCCCCCACAAAGCCCCCAGCCCTGTTCACAGACATTAATCTCAGCTTTTCCACTGTGATCACAACCAACACCTCTAAGAGCTCTCAAACTCCACTGGACAGAGGCTCTGAACAGCAGAAGCTGAACCTTCATCGCCACTGAAGCTACCCAAAAGACCCCTCCTGTAAGTAGACTCTGCAGAGCAAACAGGAGGAAACCCAGCTTGCCAAAACCAGCCTTTGGAAGAGATAACTCACTGTTCTGGGGATGGGTGGCGACAGAGATCCATTAGGCATGTATGGGTCGTTATTCATATTTGGCATCATGATATACCCAGAATAACCAGAGTACGATGGTCCCTTGCTGTATAAGCCACTGTCTGGATGCTTTCCTATGGAAGACAAAACAATGATTACATTATTCCCCACATATGCATTTCTCATGAGTTAGAGAACTCAGACAGGTACTGTGAATATATGAAAATGTCCTGCATGCAAACATTTCCTTGCTCATGGAAATTACTGCGGACAGAAAACAATATGAAGAAATCTGTAATAACTTTTTTTTTTTTAGGAAGAGTTAATTCTTAAAGGAGGGAGTACTCTCGGTGAGGAGTTTATGTTTAAAATACAGGATAGCCTCAAAATAAATTATTTTGCTAGTACTCATTCAAATCAAAGTAGACACATCAGCAATGACATCACATTTCTCAAGTAGCAGTTTTCCCCAATTTTATACATGCCTCTAGGATTTGTCAATTCAGAATTAATGCCAGCATGAGTTTCCAACATCATTCTTAGGAAAGGGAGGACAAGGCTGTGATAACTAGATATAATAATTTCTTTCTCTTGCTGAGCCAGTGTGTGCAGAGAACAATTCATTCTGGCTATGCTCATTGGGAACAATTAAAGGGCAGGGGGTGGCTTGGAAGGAGAGCCTACCAATTTGGGAGGGGGGCTGTTGAGCACACATGGTACTACAGTCAAGAGGGAAGCCAAGTGAGGGAGGCTATTTGGTAGGAAAATAAAGTGTTTGGGTTGAGGTCCTGCAAATAGGGTGAACAGGTCTCCCACCCAACATGCCCGTTGACAAGGACACTACTTGAAAGTGAGGTTTTAAGAAGATGCAGAGCTGAAACCTATCCACAGCTGAACAACTCCCCCTCACTGCCCAAATGCTATGAGCGTGGACATCATTGCTTTTAGGCTGTTTAATTACAAATTTGGAGGAAGATGGCCACAAAGTCCTGGAAGGCACCAGGACTGAACTGTGCCTGTCTTTATATGGAATTTATAATCTGGTTTAGCTTGTGATGATAAGCATTTGATTTTAAACATAATCTCCCACCCTTCACAGCACACATTCTTTGCACGCGTGTCCACCTTCCTAAGTGACATTCGATGAACTTTGCTATTTCCTCTGTCCTTCTCAATCAAAATTAACCAGTTGGTACATTAAAAAATGCAGGAGGTCTGTTCGTACTTAGATTTGAAAGAGGAGATTTAAGTGACAGACTTTGGCTATGGGGAAAAGCAGAGGGTTTCTGAACACGGCTGTACACTGTGTGAGTGAAGAGATAGATGCATTTAAGCTGATATCCTAAAAATAGTTATTTCTTCAGTGAAGATCCATTTGGCCTACTTATCAGTTTCTAAACAACTGGAATACCATTTGGTCACTCAAGCTAAATGCGCTGCACGTTCATCTCCTTTTTAAATGCGCTTTGAAAGCGCTCTGACATCCCTGCCCCCCAAAAGATATTAAATGTATGTTTTCCAAAAGAAACCAAGTTCCGGTTTGAGGACCGTGTGGAGAGTCACAGAGGGACAACACTGCAAGACAGGACTGTGCGCATCTCACCTTCTTCGGGGTGTTCTCTGCCTTTATCATGGTAGGAATCCTGTGCTTGAGTCTGCCTGGAAACCTGACCGCAAGGAATCCAACATCAGAAAAGAAGAAGAAAAAGAAGAAAAGTCATTGTATGGATGCTCGCTTATCAATCGCACTGCTACAGTTTCTTGAAGAGAGGAATTAAAGAGCACAAGATAAACATCTTTCTTTTTCCTCTTAAGTCGCTTGGAAGGCAACTGTACCAGAAACGTTTGTGTAAACTATCGTTTTATGACAACGTGAATAACTACAGGGCTTTGCAAAGCATTTCTAGCAGAAGCACCCTGCATTTAATCAAAGTGGATCATTTCTGGAAAATATTTGGCGCTCTGGCGGTCAAAACACTCCCGGTAAAAAGATACCAAAAATACTAATGAAAATCAGGTTGCCCTCCCTAGCAGATCTTTAGGAAAAAAAAAAAAAAAAAGAAAAAAGAAAAAAAAAATTTAAAAATTAAAAAATAAACAGATTTTTTAAAAAGGCAGGTTCCCTGCTCGCCCTAAAGTTATTTTAGAGTCGGGAATTTCTTCCCAAACAGTTTTATGCAAATCCCTTAAAGAGTTTACAGCTAATGCTCCGACGCCGCTGATTTTACTGAGGAAATTTCATGGCTCCTTGAGGTCTAATACCACCGCACCGTCGGGGAACTCGCGGCAACTTTCTCGTCCCGGGCCGAAGCGCGGAAGGGGCTCTGCCCGGCGCACCTCTGGATACAGGATTTGGGGCCGACTGATTTCTTTTCCTATGGGAAATTTTTCCCCGGTGCCCTGCCGAAGCTCCCTCCCCGCGGCGGCGGCCGGAGCCCGCCGGCACCCCGCGCCCCCTCGGTCCGCGCTGCCCCGCGGAGCCCCCGCACCTCGTGCCCGTTGGCGCCGGGGGCGATCTCGGACTCGTTGACGAGGGAGGACTTGATGTCGGCCAGGTCGCCCTCCTCCTCGGGGTGGCTGATCTCGGCGAAGATCTTCTCTTTCTGGGGGTCCCCCTCGTCCTTGAAGGGGATCATCTCGTCGGTGGCGCAGAGCTCCGGGTCCCCCCCACCGCCCCCGGCCCCCGGCAGCTGCGGCATCCTCACGGCAGCGCGGCGTCTGCTGCGGCCGCCGGCCCGCCGCGGGAAGGGGAGCGGGAGGAGCAGCGGGGGGAGGAGGAGGAGGAGGGCGGAGGAGGAGGAGAGAGGAGAAGGAGGAGAGAAGAAGGAAAAATCCCGTGAACTCCTCGGGGTTGCTCTCGGCAGCCGGAGACCCCCCGCCCTTCCGCCCGCCCCCTCGGGGCCGAGGTACCCCGTCTTCCGCACGACACCGACGGCCCGGGGACCCTCGCCCCGACGCGCCGCACGGCCGGAATAGGTCGAAATACGCCCGCCCGTGTCCCGACCGCGCCAGGGACCGCCCCCCAGGAGACCCGACCCCCCTCCATCCCCCCCGGGACCCGGGCTCACCCCGGGGGCGAGGAGACGCGGAGGGGAGCGGAGCCCGCCCGCGTTTCGCCTCCGAGTGAAGTTGCCACCACCTCGGCGGGACCGAGTTAAAATGGCTGGGGGGAGGCGGGCAGGGGGAGGGGGCGTCCCGGGGGAAGGGGCAGGCGCTGCCCGTGCCGCGCACCCACCGGGCCTTTGTCCGCCGCTTCGTCCGCGGCTCCGGGCAAGGCTGGGCTCGGCGGCACCGCGAGGGGCGGGGGGCCGAGGAAGAAACAGCCCCGGGAGGGAGGGAGGGCAGGAGGGGAGGGATGGAGCGGGCGAGGAGGTGACCCCCCCCCCGCTTCCCTCCGCGCCCGCGGGCAAGGGAAAAAGTTGCCGGCACGGCGCTCCCGGCCGCCTCCGCGCTCAGCGCCCGGCGCGGGGCCTCCTGCCGCAGCCGGCGGGCGCGGCGCCCCACGGGGGGCGGCGGTGGGGCGCGGGGCGGCGGCGGCAGCGCAACTTCAGCATCGCTCCCGCCCTCCCTCCCTCCGCCGTCGGGGCGGGGCGGGGGCGGCGGAGATGAAAGGAACCGCCGCCGTGACTGACACCGTGTCCGGGCCGGGAGGGCCGAGCGGCGGGGGCGGGGAGAGGAGGGGGCCGGGGCCAGCGCCAGCGGGGAGGGAGGAGGGGGCGCGGGGGAACGGGTGCGGGGCTGCCCCCGGGCAAACTTTGCTCTGGCTGCTCAGAGAGCAAAGTAGAGTAGCCTCTCTGCGTGTCCGTGTGTCCGTGTGTGTATCTACACGCGCACGTGTAGGTTTGTGTGTGCGTGTCCGCGTCGCGGGGGTGCGTCGGGGCACTGCCTCTCCTCTCCCTCCGCAGCCAAGAGCCCGCCGAGGAGGGCACAGACGCTAGCTGCATCCCCGGGAAGGGCGGACAGACCGGCTTTTTTAGGGCTGCTTTGTTGAGCCTTCCCCATCGCCACATGGCGCTGCTCCGGTGAGGGAAGTGTGCGGGGGATTGACCAGGCTCTGCACGCGCCCGCTTCGGACGAAGGGCAGAATTAAGACATCCCCATTGAACCCAGCAAGTGCCCGGCAGAAACGAGTAGTAGCCCCCTAGAGACGGGGAGAAACCCGCCGGGGCGAGCTCGTCCCAGTTTCGAACGGGTAAATGGAGCCAGAGCAGTAACGGAGATTCACCCCTCCACCCTGTCCCGTTCCTCCAGCACCGCGCTGCCCCGTTAGCTCCCGGCTGATCCGGCATAGCCCTGCAACAGGGCACGAGCACAGTAAAAAAAATAAATCGTCCAGACAAAAGCAAGCGCTGCGCTTGGGAAACGTCAGGATCCGCAACTTTTATTTTGCGAGCACGATGGGCGCACATTTTGCAGGAAACAACTTCCCAGTAATTTGGCATCGGAAAAGTGTTCTTGGTGCTTTGCACATGCCCCGTCAGGTTGCTAAACCTTCAAGCGCCGGGAGCCGGAGGAACGGGAACATGTGGCTGCTCAATCCGTTTTCGGCAGATGCTGGGTTCGGCACGGCGGCGGTGCCGGCCGGGACACGGGCGGGCTGAGCCCGGCTGGCCGCGCCGCCGCC